GAGAACTAAAGTAACCCTGGGTAAATATACCTTCGCTCCAAGAAAGATTAGGAAATGAAACAGTTATAAAACTTAAAGAATTAAATTCAAAATGCTTACCACGATTCTGGAATAAGAAAATTTAAAAAATGTATGAACTAAATGAAATAAATTTACATTAACCTTTGAATACTGCAGCATGTAAAGTATTTTGTGAATTAAATGAACAGATAACATTTATCTTTATGGGAAAGAGGAATGTTTAAATTTGTTAAGGAAACAGATTGGCTGATTGTATTAAACAAAGTGATAAGTAGAAAAAAAACACATGAAGTTTTGAAAATGTTATGTGATTACAGAAGTATGGATGTGCTGAAATTAATGCCTGTAGAGTGTTACAGGAATGGTGGAAAATCCCTCTTTTATTTTTTATTCCCTTTTTATGAACTACAAATTTGAAATAATGACAAATGTATTATTAAAGAGACTGAAATATATATATGTACTTTTGCCAAATATGGAACCTTTTGTGGACTTTTTACTGAAAACAGATAAAGCCAAATTTTACAATTGAACAAGTACTGAATAAGGGAACAAAGGAATTATGGTTATGTATAGGAGGGAGAGAGAGAGGATAACGATTTTAACTAAAACTGCTGTAATTAAGATCATAAGTCACTTCTTTAATTATTTTGTATTTTTTTTTCTTTTACCTGCATTGTTTCCTAAATCTTTTCTTTCTTTTCCTTTTTTTCAGCTTCCTCTTCTTTCCTTTTTCCTTTTTTATACATTTCTTATATTTCTTTTTTTCAAGTAAAATTGTAAATAAAAATTAGATAAAAGTGTATGAAATAATACTTCACATAAATGTGGTAATCTATTTATTTTTCATTTCTTGTGCCATATTCTTAATTCAGAACATTTTGCAGAGTTCTTCCTCTTGCATACATCAATTAGGTTGAATGTTATACAAAAAAAAAAGAATTCTCAATAATTATCAAATTTCATCTCTAGTGCAAGAAGAGGCACAATGATAGCAAGAGAAATCCTCCTTGGTTATTACTAGATTTCTAGTCTCGTTTCAATTTATCTTTGATTTTAATTACATAATTAAGACATAGACATATAAAATGGCAGCTGGTATGCTATGAAGTACATCACTGTATGAGGTTATACACTAAAAACTCCCTTTTTACAACCCTGTAATCCTTTAGTTCAAGTTCACAGCAGAGATAGAGATAGAGATAGAGATAGATAAAGATAGATAGATAGATAGATAGATAGATAGATAGATAGATAGATAGATAGATAGATAGATAGATACTCTTCCTGATGCCATGCAGAGTTCACAGCAGATATATCTGCAAGACAGAAATATCTGCCACTACTTAGGATTGAACTCTCAACCTTCTTAGTGGGAGGTGAATGTCTTTATCAGTAGGCCAACACACCACTCTAATACACTATAACACACTCTATAGTTTTTACATTAAAAAAATCTCTATCCATCCACATTTCACAGTATTAAAGAATATCTCCAACTTTATACATTAATTTTTTTAGGGCCTGAGTCACCTCTTTATTTCGCAAACTATATATGAGAGGGTTGAGTGCTGGAGTAATAATGATATAAAACACAGAAGCCATCTTCACATATTCCATTGAAGTGCTGGGTTTTGGTCGCATATATATTGAAAGGACTGATCCAAAAAAAAGTAAAACTACCATCATATGAGAAGAGCATGTGGAGATGGCCTTATGCTTCCACAAGAGAGAACCTTTGCCAAAGATGGAGTACAGAATGTGAGTGTATGACATAAGAATTAATAGAAATGGTAAGTAAATAGATATGAAACAGACATGCACATTTTGGCTTGAGCTATTTTCACTAAGGCAGGCATTTCACAGAGAAAATGATCAATCTTATTGTGGTTATCAAAGGGTAAGTTCAAAATCAATGCAGTATTTATGGCAGAAAAGAATAAACCTCCCACCCAACAAACAGTTGCCATTGAAATACAGACCTTTTTAGTTATTGTGAGGCTACGCAATGGAAGGCAAATGGCAATGTAACGATCATTGCACTAAGAAGAAAACATTCTGTAATTCCAAATGAAAGGACGAAGTAAAGTTATACCACAGTGGATGAGAGAAATGATCCTTTCCTCAGACAGCATTTGGGGCACCACAGTTGAAGTATAACAAGCCTCCAAGACAGAGAAGTTGAAGAGAAAGAAGTACATAGGGCTGTGAAGGTGAGAATCTACTATGACCAGAAGTACAAGGAGCAAGTAGCCAATCATGGCCATCATGTAAATAAAGACAAATGTCACAAAAAGGGCAATATTTGTCACCCAGTGATTTGAGATTCCTATTAATATAAACTCTTTAGGTCAAGAAGTCTGATTGACATCTCTCAGGTTGTCCATTACATCTGATAAAATAAAAGAAATCACCATTGGTAATACTAGCCACAGCCTAAGAGACCATAATTTTTACAGAGACCCAACAATCTTTTTTGTGGTTGGAAGTTTTTCTTTTTTTCCCCCTTGCTTATCAGATATTTTTAGATAGGAAGAAGTAGAGAGCTGACTAACTTGTTGCTAATGATACGATATATAGAAAGTTTGAAACAGAAGGGTTTGTATTTCAGAAGAAGTTCACCAGTCTAAGGAAAGTAGCATTAAACTGGTATATGCTATTCAATAAAACCAAAAGGTGTGTTTGTGTGTGTGTGTGTGTGTGTGTGTGTGTGTGTGTGTGTGTGTGTAAATTACAGTTGGTGAGAACTAGAAAAAGTATTAGCTTATAAAGTGTTCAGGGCCAATATATAGCTGTTAATGACACTGCAGTTTTTATGCAGTGGATGATAAGGGGTAGAATATAGAACAAAAATTCAGGATGGCACTCCTGAGTGAAGTACTGAATGTAGCTAAAGCTGAAATATTTAGGACATAAAATACAATGCTTGTTTATTGTTAGAAGACCCTATAAAATAATAGGTAAGATAGCTGGATGCTATTGCTGATATCTCAAGCTTGAGCTAATAAGAATTTTAAAAAGCAATTCCTGGCAGAAAATCTTGACAAAATCTTATCCACCGGGTCTTGAATAGTTAACAGTGACTGAATGACTGAAATGAAGTTTTATTCATTTTAACCATTTTTATATTTATCTTTTTATCATTTTGTAAGCTGTCCAGACTCAGTTTATGGTAAGATGGGTAGTACATATATTTAATAAATAAATAAAACCAAAAACATCCTCTTAGTTGGTACGGCTTTTGAAGAAAAAGGATTGAGAGAATCTCATCTTATTTCTTAAATTCTAAAAAACCAATAAGCAGAACTTTCCTCTTTCCCCCATCCTTCCTTCCTTCCTTCCTTCCTTCCTTCCTTCCTTCCTTCCTTCCTTCCTTCCTTCCTTCCTTCCTTCCTTCCTTCCTTCCTGTATTGAACAAGTTTCTACCACCTTGGTGGGTGCATTGCAGTGATAATTAACAGATATAATATCATTTGTCATTACTCTTGTTACAATATGATCACAGTAAAGGGAAAAAACCCTTCAGCAACAGTAGGTATTCAAAATAACTGTTTTTTATTACTTTCTACAATTCAAAATACACATTTTTCATGAAAAAAATAATAATTGTTTCACACATCTGTTCTTGGAGGATATTTTTTTTAAAAAATAGATTGCTCTGTCCCTGATTTTTCTTCTCTTTCATTCCCCACAGAAATATATTAAAAATGAAGATATTCCATTGTTGATGTTCCACATTTTAGCAAGAATAATATCCAGCCTGCAGAGTAACTGAGAAATATAGATTTTTATATGAAAGCATGAATCTTTTCTGAGATGTGATAAACACATTAGTAATACATATAGGAATAATTGCACAAGCATACAGAATCAATTCTCATGAGACAAATAAGTCTTCCCATGATTTATTTTAATTAGAAATTATGATGTTGAAGCTCAAGCTTGTGGGATCTTGGTGAAATTGTCTATGGCACTGAATAAGAAAGAACAAATGTGTATCGGTTAAAATTATTATTTATGATTTCATGAGATATTTCATACCTACCAAGAGCCTTCCTGCCTTTGGTCTACATCTGATTTCATAATAAAGCTGTAAAACTGAGGCTAACATACCCAGAATTCTTCAGCCAATATTTGGCTATGGGATTGCGGAGGTTCATATTTCTTTTTTTTAGTAATTACAGTGTTCTAAGACTTTTTTCCCCATAATTCAAATTTGACTTTCAAAGTGAAACAAGATATAGACATACATTAAATCTGAATCCAAAAGAAGAAATGGGTGAGGGGTGGGTGATGTAAGTGTATAAGAAGGGACTATTCCTAGGTTTCTGAAAAGTAAAGGCAGGGGAGGTGCTTTCAAACTTTCTCTCTGATATCATCCCTTTGAGGTAATCAAGACAGGATAACAAAATTATGAATACCAATTCTATTTGAATTCTGAGATTACAGTACAGAATCTTATGGGATTCTGCATCCTAGCAGATGTTGAAGATATTATTCTTAGTACTAAGTAGGACACAAAGAAAGTTCAAATACTAATGGTCACTATTTGTATTGCAACTATTACCAAATAATAATACATTCAGAAATGAAGAAGAAAGAATAATGTTTTTTTAATTATTTATTTTAAATGATGTATATATCCACCCATATTGTAACAACAATTGACAATGCAGAAACCAGTAAAAACAACAGAAAACTCCAAATCATAAAATACAAATACATTAAAATGACATGGTCTCATGAAAAATGTTTGTAAAAAATATTATACAGGTTTTGTGAAGAAATAAATTATTTTATTAAAATAAGTAGTTTTCAATTAATTACTTGTTTTCAATTAAAATCAATCCTGTTTTTTTTTAAATTGCCCTTTTGATTCTTGGAGGAAAGAATCCAAAAAACCCCCAAAAACAAATGGATTTATTTATTTATTATCTATTGTTTTTGACTTAGGGAATTTTTGGGAATTAGATCCCTATAAGCTTTGAAAATTATATAGTATAAATGTCACATTTCCTGGGGACTATACAATGTATGTCTGTAAAAAATAGTCAACCAAATACTTTTTTTTCCCAAATTCGCAAAAAGGCACCTTTTACTTCTTGGTTCCTCAAGCTGTATATGATAGGGTTTAAAATGGGGCTAATGAATGTATAAAAAAGGGACAGGTATTTATCAGTATTGGGAAAATAAGTGGAGTTGGGTTTCAGGTACATGATGGAACTAGATCCATAGAATAAGGTCACAACAATGAGATGTGAGGAGCAAGTAGAAAAAGTCTTCTTCCGGCCCTCAGAGGATGAGATCTTCAAAATAGCAATAATGATCCCATAATAAGACAATAAGATCAGAAGAAAGGGTAAAGTAACATAAATAACTGCTACCGCAAAAACAGCAATTTCAGTCATAAAGATATTTCCACATGCTAGTTTCAGTAAAGGGGGGATATCACAAAAGAAATGATTAATGACATTGGAATCACAGAAGGACAGTCTGAACACCATACTAGTCAGTCCAAATGACATGAAGAACCCACTTAACCAAGAGGCTAGAGCTAAACTGGTATAAACTCTTTGATCAATCAAGATAGGGTAATACAGAGGCTTACAGATGGCAACATAACGATCGTAGGCCATTGAGGCCAAAAGGAAACATTCTGTTCCACCAAGGAAAAAAGAAAAATAGGTCTGTGCAGCACAGCCAATAAAAGAAATGGATTTATTCCCAGAATGAATATTGTCAAGCATCTTGGGAATAGTGACTGATGTAAAACAGATCTCAAGGAAGGCTAGATTTCTTAGAAAAAAGTACATGGGTTTATGTAGGGTTGCATCAGCTAATGTAAGGAGGATAATTATAAGGTTTCCACTCAAAGTGATCATATAGATTCCCAAAAATGTAAAAAAGAAAATACTTTGCAAGTAGGACTCATCAGAAAGACCCAAAAGGATGAAATTGATTGGCATTGTACTGTTATGCAGCATATATTCTTTCCTTTTATGCATCCTAGAAAGAAAAAGAACCACATATTACTTTACAAATTTAAAATACAATGATAAATTGTGTAAAAAATATACATAACCTTAAATCTCAGGACATAATCTCAGAGCAATAGCACCAATTATTCAGTTCTGGTTGATCAGAAAAAAAGATTACAAAACCCCATCATTTTTTTCTTTTATAATGGAGACAATTCTTGCCTGCCCTTATTAATTTCTCCATCTGATCAAAGTGTTGTTGGTCATCAGGAATAAACAATTTTATGGAGAGTGGGAATTATGGTTTCTAAAGATATTTATTTATTAATATGTATAGTCTAAAATTGCATGGCTCCACACTCATAGAATTCTGGGAGACACTAGCATGTATCAAAAATTATCATTACATAGACTTTTATGATAAAAATGAGCATTTATTTGTTTCATACTGTATTCAGTTTGTTTCTAATGTTTCTTTCCATTCCAGAATCTTTTGAACATCTTACATCTACCAATAAATTTTGGCTTAATATCTGAATGCCATCAATCATGTCCATAAAAGCAAAAGAAAGAGAAATCCACTCTGCTTTACTGCAGATGTATATAAGATAGTATAGGAGCGGGAAAAATCAGCATATAGTAGATATAAAAACAGTGGAAATGTACCTGAGGGAGAGGCATAGAAGAACCTGCAGAAAGAAGTCAAATCGTTATTACTGTTGCTAAAGCATAGAAAGAGGAGGAACTGACTAAATGGGGGGATAAAATATTTTCAGGTATGTTAATAACAGAAGGAGAAAAATTGCACAATCGCCAAAATAAAAAATGCAAACAATTCTTATGTTAAGGGAAATCTTACTGTAGTAAACCATCTAAACAAATACTTTTGCTCACTCTTCTCAGGAGTAGATGCCAGGAAAAAAAAACAGATTTGGGGATCATACTAGCCATGCAGGTTCTTTTCCAAGGTTTTTAGAGGTGGAGGTGGCAGGTGAGCTAACCCACTTAAAGCTTAATAAAGCAATGGGTCCAGATGGTATCCATCCCAGAGTTCTCAGGGCACTTCTAGATATGCTTGCTGGACCATTAACAGATCTGTTTAACCAGTCACTTCTAATATGTGACGTTCTCCAGGACTGGCAAACAACTAATATCATACCCATCCACAAGAAGGGGGTTAGGGAAGAAGCTGGAACTATAGGCCAGTAAACTTAACATTTGTAGTAGTGAAATTAAGGGAATCCCTGCTGAAAAAATGGATTAACAAACATTTAAAAGTGCACAATGTGATGGACCCAAAGCAGCATGACTTTACTGAGGGCAGATCATGTCAAACTGGTTGACTTTTTTGAACTACACCAGAAATGTTTTGGACAAAAGTGGTACTGTGGACATAGTTTTTTTTCTGAATTTTAATAAAGCATTTGATACAATTCCACGTGATGAACCCATTAAAAAGTTGTAGAGGCTAGAGCTTAACCACTGGATGGTTAAATTGATAAGTTGGCTCAGGGATAGATCCCAGTATGTGATTGTTATTGGGGCATTGCCTGAGGAGAGACCAGTCACAAGCAATGTACCATAAAGCTCAGTCCTGGGTCCTGTTCTGTTCAATGTGTTTGTAAGTGATATAACAGAAAGATTGCTAGGTAAGGTTCAAATTTTTGCTGATGACAAACCCTGGGTTTTTTGGAACATAGAAAATGATTTGGCGTTGTGGGGAAAATAGTCAAAAATATGAAAGCTGCAGTTTAATGTTTCTAAATGTAAGATCATGCACTTAGGGAAAAATAATTGTTTGGCAAATAACCTTCTAACACTATACCCCCAATGCCACTACAATATTCACAAAACAGATGACTGCAAAATGAGCAAATAATGTGGCTAGGCAGTTGGGAAGGCAAACACCCGCAGGAAAAATGAGGTCCTAATCTCACTATATAGGGCTTTAGTCAGACCCCATTTAGAATACTGTGTCCAGTTCTGGACACCTCACTTAAAATGATATTGATAAGATTGAGTGATTCCAGAGATATGCAACAAAAATTGTACAAGGTCTCAGGGAAAACATGCCAGGAGAAGTTGGAGAAACTGAATACCTGAAGGACAGAAGGGAAAGGGCAGACATAATTGAAACCCTTGAATATATTTATTGTTTGAATAAGGTTCTAGAACAGTGACTCTCAACCTTTTTAATGCCGCGACCCCAACCGGTCGTAAGTCGAGGACTAAACCGGTCGTACGTCGAGGACTAAACCGGTCATAAGTCGAGGACTAAACCGGTCGTAAGTTGAGGACTACCCAACCAGTCGTAAGTCAAGGACTTTCCCTGCCCGGGAGCACTGCGCATGCGTGGTTCCGCCCCCTGCGCCGGCTGAGGCGTAGCTGGCAAGCGGCAGAGACGGAGCAGGCCGACCACCAGCTGGCCCAGCCCAAGGGAGGTAAGGCACCCGCCAGAAAAGGTGGAAAAAATGGAGGACAAAAAATGGCGGACAGCCTTGCTTGGCGACCCCCGTGAAATGGTCAATCGACCCCAAATGGGGTCCCGACCCACAGGTTGAGAACCACTGTTCTAGAAAAAGTATTTTCAATATTAAGCAAAAATCAACAACACGAGAGCATAACCTCAAACTGACATGAGAGAACTTCAGAAGTAATATTAGAAAGTATTACTTCACAGAAAGAATAATGGAAGCTTGGAATGAATTTCCAGTAGAGATAATGGGTCAATTATCAGTAACTGTTTAAACATGCTTGGAATAAACATATGTCCATCACTCAACTAAAAATTAAATTAAATTAAAGCAATAAATAAAGAAAACAAATAATAAATAAATAAACTCAAAGGGTAGGCTTGATGGCCCACTAGATCTTTTTCTGCTGTGAGGTTTCTTTGTTTCTATATCAACCAATATCATCTTGATCACCCACAAAATAGTAGGGTAAGGCAATCCTTAAAAAAGCTATGCTTTTATGAATCCTTGAAAGCTCAGTGTGGTAGAGGTGACCCAGACATCCTAGGCCAGGGGTGTCAAACTCGTAACATTATATGATGTGTTGCGATATATCACAACTTTTTTTCCATTGATGGCAATGGGGTGGTCGCAGTTTCGCCATGATGCATCTGGCCTGCAGGCCGGCATTTTGACACCCCTGTCCTAGGCCAACCTTTTCTCAGAGGAGACCTTATCACTAAGAAATCTCAAAGGCAAATCAAGTAACCAAGGTTTTACTATCATTAACCAAAGTGATTGTTGTTTCCACAGAATATGAATAGTCCTAACATTCAAACATTTTGATAAACCAAAGATGATAGGATAGATGGATACATGACTTCTGAATTTGAGAAGTCTACTCTTGGAAGTAGATCTCATCTTAAATATTCTCTCCAAACCTTGTGAAATTCTTTGAGTGTCATACGATTTCAGGGTTGTTTCTTTTCACAAATGAAGTGCATGATGAAAAGCAATTGAAGAAGAAAGGTGAAAGGATAGGATTTCTCCAAAATGCTTGAAATTTCTCAAGGCCACAATAAAAGTCCTTTACTGGAGTGCTTGTGATGTCACAAAAAAGGACTACTAAATATAATAAGTAATTAGCAACCAATGAAGAGAAAAAAGCAATTATTTCATGGAAAAGAGAAATCTTGCCTACTGGTCAAGTAAGAAAGTGATGCCAGGCATTCTGTCCTGGATCTCAGCCATTAAGTAAACGCAGCCTGCCCAATTCATTCTCAGAGATAACAATGTCCCACTGATCTCATAACAATTACTATAGCCAACCTGTGAATATAATTGTACTCATTCAAGAAATACTTCATCGTCTTTGCCAATTTTTTAAAATGTTTATTTTTTTCTTTTAAAAAAGCAGAAATATAAAAATATGGCAAATGAGATAATTAAAAAGTATACAAATAACTGGAATTAGAATATCTGATATTTGGACACATATTCAAGATTATTTTGTTACCTAATTTCATGTTTCTAATACTGAAAAAATATCCTTCATTCAACATACACATCTCTCTTTTTTTTGGAGAAATAGCTTTTAAGAAACTGAAATTGAGAGGTTCAGATAATAGTTGGACAATCTTCCATAAAAAAAAATATGTTTATTTGCTGGGGCATGTGACATACACTTTTAAATCCTTTTGAATAGAAATTATTTCAGATATGAATGTTATTTTCATTTGTTTTTAGAGATTCTTGTGTTCTTTCAAAGCACCAGTAGGGAAACTAAAAGGATGATAACAGAAAATATATATTTCATGCTTTTTATAGTTACAAGTGTGTGGAATAATACTTCTTCAAAAACCCAATTATTATTTGAAGAGCTTTTAGAAGAAGTTCTATTAATCAATACAATTTAATTTAGAATACCTTTAAACAACATATCAAAGAAAAATTCAGAGTCATACTGTATAATGCAGTCCTAGCCTTAATCTGTGAAGATATCTACATAACACTTCCACTGAATGTTAATAAAATGTATGAATTTAGATCAGAGTGCTCCACAGCCATTGAGATGGAGTACACCCTTCCAAATACAACCCACATATTAAAATAAAAATGTAGAAGGTATCCAGAATAACCCAGAGATTTATCATGGAATCCTCATGCTGAATTTTGGTATTTCTAGTCCTACATGAAACCTATTCTGTCTACTGGTTAAGGTAGCCCCTGAAAGAGGACATTGACAAACCATTTTTAAAAAACATTGCCAGGAAAATTCAGAAACTTGTGGAAATCAAAAATTACTTAAAAGAAAGAAATATTCTAAAAGCATCAATATGTTGAATTTTTATAGCACTCTGAAAGTGGCAGCATACAAATACCTTTCCCTACATTAGTAAGAGAACCAAGTTCAGTTTTATATCTATAATAGATTTATAAGGTTGACTGCATCTTACAATAATTATATTATATAGCTATATATTCTGAGTTAAATATATGCTATAGCTTTCAGTGTCTTCATTATGTCTAAGCTACTGAAGCTAGCTGAAATATTATTAA